TTAGAGCAGTCAAGTAACTTCATAATGTATAAGTAGTGGAACAAAAACAAACATTAACATTTTTACCACCTTTGTTTCACTTTGAATTAAGTAGAAATTCACCTGCATGATGTCTAACCTTAACCCGGTACAATACCGCTCACTCGCTTACATTTCAAGACCTTCCTTTTAAATTAATTAATGAAGACGTCAACTGAGACATTACATGGCATAGTGGAATCCTAGAGCTTAGTGTTTAGAGCACTCGCCTCGCAAACGAGAGGACCTGCGTTTGATTTCCTGGCAGAGTGAAATCTTAGGCAAGTTTCCTTACTCCACACACACACACCTCTGTTCAATTAGCAGTAAGTTGGAACCCAGTTGTTAGTTGATTGATGGATCGCTTTTCTGGGGGTAATAATCCCTAATAATAAAAAATCTAAAATTTGTAATACTAATTTGCTCACTCAATCCACGACTGTTTGTGGACACTGCTTATAGATTATACAGATTATACTGTAAAGTGAATAGAGTGTATATTTTGTGGATGAAACAATGATAAAGATGTAGTAAAAGGAAACAAAACAGAATCACACAAGAATGGTAGAAATGTTTTAGAATATTAGATAATGAATTAGAAGGATCACATAGTCAATCAAACCAATTCGTTCGACCGAGCAACTTCTTGCAGCTAACCTGGTTTGAAAAGGATGGAACTTTTTCTGCAGTCAGGAATGCAGACTGGAGTCCGAAAGAGGAAAACTGTTCCATTTGGATGTCTCTTACTTGCATTTCAAAAAGAGAAGAGTGTTTATCTGCAGTTTGCTTATCCAAGCACACAGTTCAGAACCTCTGGTTCTTTTATCTCCAGAGTGACAAACTTCTACTGATTTGCCAGTGCACTCTTTGTGCATGTTTGATTATCTGAAGATTTCTTCATAAATGTCCTTATATTGATCATTTGAGTTTGGGGTGGGTGGAAATCTTCAGCTCCATCTGCACCAACCAACAAAGCCAAATATTATTCTGTTTTGTTTGATAAGTGCACTGAGTTTGTCCCTACTTACTCGTCAATAACTATAATGCAATTGTAAAAGTATAATTTAATTTCACATTTATAATGTTCTTCCATTTATGATTTAAAATTGGATTAACTTTTTCTTATAAATGGAGATTGATTCATTCGCTGAATGGAACATAATCCTAATAATCCTTGCAATTGATATGGTGCCTTTCACATCGGGGCGATGACTTAAAGCGATTTGTGGGGTTCAATGTAAAGTGAATTTTGAGTATTTTGTAGCGACCCAAGGCAGCCAATTTATGCACAGCAATGTTGCACAAACAGCCATGCAGTGAATGACCAATTTTATTTGGGTGATTGTTGGCCAGGACACCGAGACAATCTCCCTTCTTTTTTCGAACAGTGTAATGGGATCTTCAACAGCCTGAACAGATAGACAGGACCTCAATTTAACCATTCATATGAAAGAAGGCAACTCCGTCAGTACAGCGCATCCCTCAGTATTCCACAAATGCCGGATATCCTCAAGTGGCTCCTCTGCCCATTCTGTGAATAATGATTAGGCGATCGATTTGACTTTAGGAACCATTGAATAAATCGTAGAAGACAAACCATAGGACAAACCACTGGGTCCATTTTGAGAGTTAATATTTTTTAAACAAGTCCTTTGTGATTTTTATATTATGTTTATTAAGCACTGTATAAATATTATCAATCAAAGATAAACAGTATTTTGATTGCGTTTGCTCTCTACAAACCAGAAAACGAGAGGCATAGTCTTATTTCTTTAACATTGGTCCATGTGATAATTGCCTTTTGATGAAAAAAAACGCCATTTTTACCCCAAATATTGACTGAGGAATAAACTCTGAACCTCCACCCTTACCCAGTGCAAGAACATTTAATTTGCAGGTTTTCCCAAGTTTGCCAAGTACACTTATTTTACTGTCAGCAGTGTCCTGGCAGACAATTCAGCGGTTACGTGTTTGTTTCTGCCTGGCTGAACTCCTTCCATGATCCAAGTCAGTCAGTTAAGTGTTTACCTCATTGTTTGTCCTGGAGTATCCACCCTGTATAGTGCAATCAGGATCTCGTAGGTTTACTCTGCTCAGCAAATGGAGTGTTTATAGACAATTCCCTTGTTCTCGCTCCCTGCGCTTTGTCTTGGATGCACAGAAGTCTGTTGTTTTGGGTTAGATTGCTGCAGTTACCTGCAGATTCTCTCTACTAGGCAATGTGCCAAGAGCATTTACATTCAGCCACTGTACTATCCTTCTGCAGAATGTGTTGCCTTCAGACGGATGTTGTATCATAGTATTTAACTGCAGGTTCCTGACTGTGTGATGGAGGTGTGTCAGCTACTCAGGCTCAGAGAGCAACATTAATTTCAGGGTGAAGGTGGAGTGGGGAGGGGGAGACACAAAGTAAAGGTCTGGCAAACAATATTAATAAAGTGAATAACTCAGAGTCTGTGAAAAGCCAATGCCTCCACCTCTACCAGACACAAGCGCTGCGTACTTGTAATTTAAGACGGCACATGTATCACAGATTATGTGAGTCACAGTGCTCGTGGTTTTACCTGCAGATTTCATCACGGCTGTGAGTAGAGAATGCATAAGCATCCCTGTCTTCAGTAGGGTGACTCATCTGCAGATCCCCTTGGCTTGTGAACAGCAATTGTTACTTACCGGCATCTAATCCCTGGCTCTATTTTCGGAGTATCAGGGATCTCCCTGGCTTCTGCCTGGCAGTTTCATCGTGGACACAGTGAAAGAAAAAGTCTGGGTCTCGACAATTGATGCACGATATGATACACGATATGACCACCGATGTGCTGACAGTCTGACTGTCCGACATCGAGTCCTGGACGAGAGACAACTTTCTTCAGCTCAACGTGCGTAAAACTATGGGAACTCTCTCCTCGCGGCCTTCCCGGCCCTCCCTCCACACTGCAGGTCATTCAGAACTCTGCAGCTCGTGTACTGTCCCGCACCAGACACCGCGACCACATCACTCCCACCCTCTCCCTCGCCCTCACCCTCGCCCTCGCCCTCGCCCTCACCCTCGCCCTCGCTTGCCTCCACTGGCTCCCCATCCCCCAGAGGATCGGATTCAAGATCCTCATCCTCACCTACAAGGCCATTCACGGCCTCGCTCCCTCCTATCTCTCTGACCTACTACCCCCTACCTACCTGCCCGTACCCTCCGTTCCTCTGGCTCCGGTCTGCTCCACATCCCCCGCCCCAACCGCCCGACCATCGGTGGCCTTCAGCCTCTCAGCCCCGAGGCTCTGGAACTCTATCCCCAGTGCCTTCGCCGCTTCCTCCCTTTCCTCCTTCAAGGCCGGTCTCAAGACCTTTCTCTTTGACCGTACCTTCAGCTCCCCTCTCGACTCTCTACCCCCTCCTCGCCCCCTCCCTTCCCTCCCCTCCCCCTGACCATTTCCCCCTTGCTCGGGTCCTGACCCAACTGTCCAGCGCCTTGGGACGTCCTTGGGACGTCCTCCCGACGTGAAAGGCGCTCTGTAAATGGAATCTTGTTGTTGTTGTTGTTGATATGGTAGTGCTCTGAACAAGGCTGAAAGTATGCATGAACGTGCTCTCGCGTTCGGATGACAACAATAATCCTTGCACTTGATATGGCGCCTTATCACACCGTTGAGACGTCTCAAAGGCGTTTCACACAATATATTATTGTAAAGTGAATTGACTGTGTACTTTGTGGGCAAAACATTGGAGCCAACTGCCAACAGCCGTGTCCCACAAACAGTCGTGGACTGAGTCACCGATTTTTTTGGGTGGGATTATTGCCCCCAGAAAGCGATCTGCCAAGCGACGAACAACTGGAGGCGTGTGGAATTCCGGCCCGGGAATCGAACCCGGGTCTTCTCGCTTGCGAGGTGACCTCGCTGACCACGGCGCGGACGGGCGCCAGCGGCTGCCGAGGGTGGAATTGTAGCACAAGCAGAGTGGGTCATTCAGCCCGACGAGGCGATCCCGCGATTCTGTTAGATCGGGGAGCGTCTCATCCCATTTCCCCGCCTTTTCCCTCTTCCTTGTCCGGCTGATTCCGGGCGGGTGGGCCGTGCACGTCAGGAGGGTGTGTAAATCCCACTGACTGCGCGCGCGGGGTGGCAGCCGTTGCTCGGCCGCTGTGCCGGGAGAGCGAGCGCACGTGCACTGCCCCCCGGTACGTGCCCGGTCCGCTGCCTGTGCATCCGCTCACGCAGGGTAGCGCCCCAGAGCACTTCCCCCTCGTCCCTCCTGCCCCGCCCACTCCCCCCCCACCCGCGGCTCTTTCTCCCGCTCATCCCTCCCTCGTCTCCCCCCCCATCCCTCGTCCCCCCGGCCCTTTCACTCACCCCCTTTCCCACTCCCTCCCCTCCCTCGCCACCTTGTCACTCTCCAACACCCCCCCACTCCCTTAACCTTGTGCCTCCTCCTCCCTCTCTCCCCTTCCCCCTCCCTCCTCCACTCTCCCCACCTCTCCCCCTCCCGCTCGCTCTCCTGACCCCTCCCCCTTGTTCCTGACCCCTCCCCCTCCCTCCTGACCCCTCCCCTCCCTCCCGACCCCTCCCCCTCCCTCCCGACCCCCCCTCCCCCTCCCTCCTGACCCCTCCCCCTCCCTCCTGACCCCTCCCCCTCCCTTGTTTCTGACCCCACTCCCTCCTGCTCACTCTCCTGACCCCTCCCCCTTGTTCCTGACCCCTCCGCCTCCCTCCTGACCACTCCCCTCCCTCCCGACCCCTCCCCCTCCCTCCCGACCCCTCCCCCTCCCTCCCTCCCTCCTGACCCCTACCCTCCCTCCCGACCCTCCCCCTCTCTCGCTCCTGACCCCTCCCCCTCGCCCGTCCGTCGATCCGTCCCCTCTCGCCACGCCCCCCACCCTCGCGCCCCGCCCCCCCACCCTCCCACCCCTCGCCCCGCCCACCCACCCCTCGCCCCGCCCCCCACTCCCCCCCCCCCCCAACTCCGCTGCCTCGCGCGCTGCTGCGCGGCGGTTGGTACCTGGGCTCGGGGTGCGCTTGCGCGCGGGGACTCTCCGCCGCTCCAGACATGGCGGAGCTGAGGCACGAGCTGCTGCGGTTACCCGCCGCCTGGTCTCACGGTGTCACCCGGGGCGGACGGGTGTTCTTCCTCAAGTGAGTGCGGTGTGTGGGTGTGTGTGTGGGTGGGTGTGTGGGGGGGGAGATCAGGGTCTCGGGGCTGCGGAGAGATTGTCGTAAATCATCATCATCATTATTATTATTATTAACAATAAACACTAACGCCGTCTCTCTCTCTCTCTCTCTCTCTTTCTTTCTTTCTCTCTCTTCTCCTCACACAGTGAGGAGGCTCAGAGCACCACTTGGCTCCATCCCGCCACGGGCCAGGCCGTCATCAGCGGCCACAGGACAGCGCCAGGTAAAGGGCAGCGGCGACCCGACCCTCCCCGACCCGACCCGACCCTCACCCCACAGCACCGCGCCCCGACACTCACTCGGGGGAGGGACTCGACCTCGACCGGCGGCGGGTGGGTGGGTGGTCCGGGCCCAACACACCCACTCCCCCCCTCCTCAGGTTCCCCCCTCTCTTCCCTCTGTCTCCCCCCTCCCCCCCATCTCTCTCTCTCTCCCTCTCCAGCTCTGGCTCCCGCTTCCCAGTCACGGCTCCGGCTCCAGGTCCCCCCCTCAGCTCAGGCTGCAGCGGTGGGCGGCAGCGGCTGTGCCCGGGGCCCGGTGGGCAGTTAGTTGTTGCGGAGAGAGAGAGAGAGACGCTGCGGCTCCGGTTGTCCCCGGTTTAGTCTCTCCCCCCACCTCCCCCCCCGGGACTGGGACTGGGACTCGGAGAGCCCCCCCCCCCCCCACACACAGGGGGGACTGACTGACTGACTGACTGACCGCAAGTTTCTGTGGAAAGTGTTGAGTTGTAAGTTTTATTTATTTAGTTTATTCGGGGTTGTTTCGAGGCGGCGCCGGACCTCGGTCCCAAACTCTGTGCGCGTGTGTCTGGTGGGGGGGGGGAGAGAGGCTGGTGGTCTGGGGAGGGGGAGAGGCTGGGGGTCTGGGGAGGGGGGAGAGGCTGGTGCTATGGGGGGGAGAGGCTGGTGGTCTGGGGGGGGAGAGGCTGGGGTCTGGGGAGGGGGGAGAGGCTGGTGCTATGGGGGGGGAGAGGCTGCTGGTCTGGGGAGGGGGAGAGGCTGGTGGTCTGGGGGAGGGGGAGAGGCTGGTGGTCTGGGGAGGGGGAGAGGCTGGTGGTCTGGGGGAGGGGGGAGAGGCTGGTGGTCTGGGGAGGGGGAGAGGCTGGTGGTCTGGGGGAGGGGGGAGAGGCTGGTGGTCTGGGGGAGGGGGAGAGGCTGGTGGTCTGGGGAGGGGGGAGAGGCTGGTGGTCTGGGGAGGGGGAGAGGCTGGGGGTCTGGGGGAGGGGGAGAGGCTGGGGTCTGGGGGGGGGAGAGGCTGCTGGTCTGGGGAGGGGGAGAGGCTGGTGGTCTGGGGAGGGGGAGAGGCTGGTGGTCTGGGGAGGGGGAGAGGCTGGTGGTCTGGGGAGGGGGGAGAGGCTGGTGGTCTGGGGAGGGGGAGAGGCTGGTGGTCTGGGGGAGGGGGAGAGGCTGGTGCTATGGGGTCTGGGGGGGGAGAGGCTGGTGCTATGGGGGTCTGGGGGGGAGAGGCTGGTGCTATGGGGGTCTGGGGGGGAGAGGCTGGTGCTATGGGGGTCTGGGGGGGGAGAAGCTGGTGCTGTGGGGGTCTGGGGGGGAGAGGCTGGTGCTATGGGGTTGGGGGGGGAGAGGCTGGTGCTATGGGGGTCTGGGGGGGAGAAGCTGGTGCTGTGGGGGTCTGGGGGGGAGAGGCTGGTGCTATAGGGAGTCTGGGGGGGAGAAGCTGGTGCTATGGGGTTGGTCGAGGGGGGAGAGGCTGGTGCTATGGGGTGGGGTGGGTCTGGGGGCAAAGAGTCTGGTGCTATGGGGGGGGGGAGGCTGATGGCAACTGGGTATGGGGGGGGGGGCTGGAATACATTGGAATGGTTAATACCTTTCCCCACTGTGGCAGACTGAGAGGCTGGAACTGTGTGTGTGTGTGTGGGGGGGTGGGGAGGGGTTTGGGTTTGAGGGAAGTTTGGGTTGTGGGGGGAAGCTATGGAGTGAATTGACCGTTTTCTTGTGTAGAATATAATCGCGTGCTCTGCATTGAAGTGGTTATAATTCTGGAGTACGTTGTCGAGCTTTACTGCTCAGAATGTGGCGTTCATAAAGCTCTGCAGGAGAGGGAATCTGCTGTGACTGGAGCTGCTGAAGGGAAACGGGGTCTGATCGAGAGACAGTCACCAGACCTGCTGGTGGGGCTGACAACAACAACAACAACTCTCCAGCTTCATCTGTCGCGATCGCAGTTTATTTCGCAGCATTTTAATTATTTATTGATTTGATCGATTGATTGATTCAGTCATCAGCCCTCCCCTCACTTACTCAGCCTCTTTCACCTGTTTTTTGGTTAGATTTACCGACCGGCTGGGAGGAAGGCTACTCGTTTGAAGGGGCCAGATATTACATTAAGTGAGTAAAACGAAGTAGAAAGCAAACGGGTTTGACTGACTCACTCATCTTCTGATCTCTGATCGCTAATATCTGCAGGAGCTGCAGAAAAGCTGGTTTGTGAACGCGAAGATGGAACATTGTTGGCTCCTTCCCTCGCTTGCCCGTTCTGTCTGCCCTTTTTAATTTATTCTGGTTGAAGTTGTTAAACGTGGAATACATGTTTTACGTGGATGGATGATGGGTGGGTGTAGCTGTGTTGATTTCCCCCCCCCCCCCCCCCCCCCCACGGCTCGAACCACGCCTCTATTCACAACTGTTGCTGTTTGAACACATGCCAAGCTTTTGAAAAAATACATCAGGTGGTTTTTGTTTTCTCACCCGAGTTGTGCTCTCGGGTCGGCTGTGAGTTGCGTCAGGTAGAGGGAAAGCTGCTGAGCAGTGGTCCAAAGCAAAATGAAAACTTCCTTATTTCCTTTATTTGGATAAAATCAAATCACTTAAGAAACACCTCGGGACGTCCCCCTGACCTGAAAGGTGCGATACAAATGTAATTTGTTGTTGGTTCTCTTATCAGAGAGAATTGTCTTCAGCCCAGACTGTCGACAAATTTAGGCTTATCGGTGTTTGATGTCTGCTAACAAACTGATAGCTTTAAAAAAGTCCAGTGGATTTTTTTTTTTTGCCTTTACAAAGCAATTGGTTAGAAATAAGTAATGCTGTGGAATTCAGTGATGTTGAGCAAACAATCTCAACTGACAATTCTTGATACAATAACATTTTCGTTGCTGATTTGAAACTCCAGGAACGGTTTATTTATCTATTTAGCCTCAATGTTTGTCTCTGCCTCAATGGAATTTATGCCATTGTTTACGTAAAACTGCTGATGTTGACAAATTTTGTTTTAAAAAAATATTAAGCTTAATAATAATCCTTGCAATTGATATAGCACCTTATCACATCGAGACATCTCAAAGTGCTTCACAGTATATACTGTGAAGTGTTTTTGTAGGTGAAACATGGCAGGCAGTTTGCGCACAGCATTGTCCCACAAATCGCTGTGGAGTGAGTGACCAATTTTTTGTAATAGAATCTGATCAAGTACTCTATTGATTAAATACTCTTGAGCATGTTATAGAGATTTACTGCTCAGAATATGGCACTTATAAATCTTATATAAAGACAAAACCGAGATAATTTAAATTATTATGAAATTTGCTTTAGTTTAAGGAAAACAAACTTGGTGATTAGCTGTGATGTATGTGTTGATTTCTGGTCTATTTCTGAAGCATTTGATTACATTGATTATGCATTTAAGCATCTTAATGAAGGTTTCCAATTCGTGAAATTTAAATGTTGAAAAAATGTTCCATTTAAGGAATGCAATCTGTGAGCTGCCGTTTTAAATTGTGATTAATAAGATTCTTAATGTACTATGGTTAACGTACTAAACATGCTTAGCTTTTGAAAAAAAATATTTTAAATTACATGTCAGCCTGTTCTCTGAGTCAGGACTTTGAGTTCATAGACTATGTTGACACTCCCAAGTGCAGTGGTATGAAAGCGCTGTCTTATCAGAAATGCTGTCCTTCAGATGAGACATTAAACCAAAGTCCTGAGTTACTGTTCAGGTGAACATCCAAGACCCCTTTTGAAAGCAAAGAGACTGTCAATGTCCTGACTGGCCAACAAACCTCCAGATAAAACTAGTCATTGACTTGATGGCTGTTTTGTGGGACACAAATTAGTTGCTACAGATCGTCACGATTCAGTATGAGTGTGAGCTTTTTGAAATGTTTAGACAACATAAGGCATTATTATCAACTGCTCCACCAATGGTCTGAAAATGGAACACATGTAATATGTTTTTTTTCCCCCAGAGTATAAAATGCAGAATATTATGTTATATATGTGCATAAATGCTAAATCCTAAGCTTTAAAACAAATGCCTGAATGGGTGTGTCAGATTGAATTGCAATAATTGTGCATGTGCAGGCTTGCATGTCCACAGTTCTAAAGTGACAAATGGTGACTGTTTTGTAGAGAGCTGTACCTTCAAAGGTTAGGAAATCTATATAGATCAGTGACCGCATTTTAGCCTGAATAGGTATGTGATGACTTCTGTTGCTTAGCTTGCTAATTTTTTTTGGGGGGGTTTCTCAAAAAAAGTACTTCAGTTCTGTATGTTTCTCAGAAGTACAGGATAAAGGTACCCCTGACTACTTTGCAATCTCTGTGGCAGTAAGCTACCAATATCAGTATTTTTTCTGCTTCAGAGATGAACTTTATTCACAATAAACCCACCCAGAAGTAGAAACAATAGCGCATTGTTGTATATTGTATAATGTTCAGAAATGTAGATATTTTCAGCCGGATTTAAATTGATCTTAAGGCAGTTTCACTGAACCATTATGCACAGTGGCATTTTGTGTATTAGATAGACAGTACTTAAAGATCAGTTCGATGCAAAGTTTAAATATTTCCCTAAGAGTTGGATAATTTCAGAAGCAATGAGATATTTGTTGGGTAAGCAGTTTAATTCCTGCCTTTTTTAAAAAAAAAAACTTTTACATTGTGAGTTGCTAGTGAAATGAAAGAAGATTAGTTAATATTTAAGAGTTGTAGAATGTATATTAACAGCAACACTTTTACATCTATGTAGCTCCTTTCACTTCGGGAGGATGTCTCGGAACAAGCAATTCATTCACAAAAATTAGTTTTAGTGATTTATCATCAGTTCACCTGGAATCTTTGTAGTTTTTTCTTTATGTATGTTTTCTGTTCTATTTATTGGCCCAAATGTATCCATATTCCCTCAATCAATAAAGTACTGAACATTCAGAAAATAATACTTTTAGTTACAAGCTGTTGAAGAAGTGTTTGCAGCAATTTACTTTATGATACCTGATATGGAATGGTTTTACAGAAATTGAACAAAGTAGAGCTACACAAAGGAGTGGCAGAAGAACTTGTAAACTACAAATTTGATTTGTAAATTGTTGGGTAGAGTACTATTCCTGGACATAATTTTATGCAGTAGAATACACTGTCAAGCGTTTAAGTAGGACACTGGAATATTGCATTGATGGAATTCCACAGTTTTTAGCACTGAATGGTACAAGGACAAATGAATGAGATGAACTTCTTGATCTCAATGCATGAGTACTGAAGAAACAATTTCAGTGTGAGCATTGAAGACCTGGAATGTAGTGAGGGGCAAGATGATTCCTTAGAGGCTGAAATATTTTCATTGACTTAACAAAGAAGGGTGAAATGATCGCTAGTGTACATAGTAGGTGAAAGCGTGAAGAATGCAGAGATGTTTATCTGTTGTTTGTTTACAAAGATATTGCAAAGAATGTAGAACACGGAAGCAAGACTGCTCAGCACAACCATTCCCTGTCTGTGTTTATACTCAACACAAATCTTCACTCATTCCTTGCTCTCTCCAATACCCTTCTATTCGTCTCTAAATAAAATAAATAATTTTATTGTGTGATAAAAGGTGCTATACAAATATAATTTGTTGCTGTTGTTGAAAGTCTGTCTTGCTTTTTTTTGAATCAGGCAGCAAGTTCCACCATCTTGCTACCTTCTTAGTTGCTCGTAAGTTCTCTTTTAGATCCACTGGTCGCTGTGTTATATTTGTATCCCCTGGCTACAGACTCTCCAACAAGTTGGTAACCTTATTAAACCCTTTTATAATTTTAAACATTTAATAGCCCCCACCCCCCCCCCAAAAGCAATGATAGACAAGTAAACTTTAGTGGTTGAAAATATGCAAGTTTGCTGGCAAGCAAAAGGCTTAGGGTGTGAAATCTGGGACAATCCCTGCTCAAAATGTTAGCAATCAGATTTTTATTAATATTCAGTATAATTTTTAATGATTGGAATTACATACTCATCATTTCATCTAAAATTTCACAGAATGATTTAAAATATCTGCTGCAGATTACTTATCTTAGATTTGCGAGTATATATAATTTACAACTGATTACAGAATGTGAACAAACATCAATCATAATTTGGTTTTAGAGAAACTATGTCCAGGGACATCCTGATTATGTATTTTATCAGATGACTGTTTACTTGAATCTGTCTTGGTGTCAGATAATAATTGCAGTGCTGCAGTGCCATTAATATTTTGTTTCTTTGAGCTTATCAGCATTTAGAAATATTTTAAATGGTTACATATTTAAGGTGCAAGTTAATGTTTTGTAGACCTACGTTTCAGGCATGTTAATAATAAAAGGATACAGAATACACAAAAACCCTGTAAAAGTAAACTGAATTACAGAATGGCAGAAGATTGTTGTCTAATGTAAACAACAGCATTGGATACCAACAATCTAATCGTGAAACCCTGGTACCCAGTGGAGTAGCAAGGCCTTCCCCCACTCCTCCCCAATAGCCTCCACAATAGCCTGCCCTTATATACCTTGCACTGGAACCACAGGAACACACTTTTCTCATCTGTTCCGCAGGCTGCATGGGGTCCAATGTACACCTAGACTTCATGGCCTTTGGACTTCTGTTATGTCTCCCAAATCCACTGCACCCCCCTCCCCAGGAGTTTGTGGACCCCAGTTTGGGAATCCCTGGTCCAGTTGCATTAAGATCATTGGACTGGATAAAACTGGCTTGCACCAAACCAGATTTCAACCTCCACAATATTGCACTTATATAGCAACTTTCACGTCAAGAGGATGTCCCAAGGTGCTGGACAGTTGGAGGTGACTGTTTTCCTGATAGTTGAGAGATCAGAGACTGATTGGGTCATCCACTTTCCCAAAGTTGGTGAATAACTGGAGTGCGGGTAATTGAGGGACTTTGCTTTACTTTGTTTTCAACGTTATTATCAAACTGATTGCAACAAAAGGAATGTTGAAGATTTTAAGACCAGAATTTTTAAACTGTTTTCCAAAACTGATTGAGGTGCAGAGAGAAGTATCGGTCAATAGCAGTGCTGCTGAACGGGGGGTTGGGGGGGAAATGTAGTAAGTGATGGATGTTGCTTTATG